CAACTGTAATGATATCATTATATTTGTTAAATTTAATTTTTTTTTTTTCTTCGTATAGATATTTTTGACAGGAGGGGGCGTATTTCAGTTAGAATACAAGATGGCGTCTATCGTTTGTTTATAAAACTGTAGTTCTAAAGGAACGTAAAATGATGAACTTGCAAAAATCAATTCGATTAGTGAGAAGGTAAAGAATGGAAGACGAAGCTGAATTAAGGGAAAAAATATTTCATAATCTAATTAGAGAATATGTGGTAAGTTTTAATATATAATGCAAAATATCTTTGACATTTTTAAAATTTATATATATTAAAGTTTAAGATTGATAATTGTAATTTATATTTTAATCAATTACCTGAAATTTTACAGGAAGAAATAGGCTTTCAGGAAGTGTTTGTTGTATTAGTCATATAATAAATGAAAATATATCCTACATTGTAAATCAATGCTTAATAATTAATTAACAATAAGAGTATTGTTATTTAATTATTTATGAATACTTTTCTAATAAAATGTCTTCAAAGTTTTTAATTAAAACAATTTCATTACATGTAATGAACAACATTAAATTGCAGCTTCATAATAATTAAGTATAGGCTAACATTATATAACACAATTAAAGAATACAACATAATTGTCAAGAAATAAATTAATGAAATACATTGCATAATGTACAGGTTGACAAAAAAGGTTTTTCGAAGTTGTGGTAGTAAAAAGAAATTTTTTTTTTTTGGTAATCGATAGTTTCGGTGCCGGATGATTTAATCGTAGCCATTTCGCATAAAATACTAATGAAATTAGAATGTTTCTTGGTTTAAATAGTTTGTTAGACACGATGTATTTTTAGAAAGGAAAAACCAAGGTTGGATTACCTTCAAAGTAATTAACATAATTTATTTTTTGTTTTAAACTAAAATTAAAGTTTATTTAATTTTAACTGATTAATTTTCTTCCTTTTCTCAATAAATAAATAATTCTCCATTAACCGAATGAACTTGCAACAGATTTCGTACGAACTGGATATTTGCCAAATTCGTTTTCATTGAGGAAGAATGTCAAGGGAGGAAAACTTAGTGAAATAAATTCTTATAAGGAAAGTATAAAATATTTAGAAAGTATATAAGAAGAAATAATTAGCTAGTTAGAACTGAATTGATTTAACGCCAATGTTTAATGCTGAAGTAATTAAAAGGTAAGAAGAAATAACTGAGTTACTAATTTCTCTATTGTTTTTATTTTGAAAGATTTCCAATGTTTTCTATTTTTTCCGCTTGTATAATTCTAGAGTTTACATGTTCTGTGATTTGATTTGATAATATAACAAGTGTAATAAAATAAAACATTTCATATGTCTCGTTTTATTAATACTTGTAAAAAAATTTTAATTTAAGAAATATTATTTAAATGTAATTACTATTTGATAAAAACTCACAAAACTTTACAAATATTTAAAATATATATATATATTTAGAACAGAATCACGTATAAAATATTAGATCTTACGAAAACATCGTACACGTTAATTATCTTTTTTAAAATGTTAAAATTATTAAAATATTTTTATAGATTAA